ATTATAAAATGTATTTTTTACCATTCATTATATATAAAAAAAAGTCCGGGCTGGCCCGGAAAGCCTGTATGGACAGTTTTTTTTAGAGCGGGCTGTATAAGGGCTTAAACATGTGCAGGCTGGGACTATTTTGACATGTCTACACACACAGTTCCTCTTCAACTTCTCAATTGTTCACGTCCCTTTCTCCTACACACACAGTTCCTCTTCAACTTCTCAATCTATTTTGACATGTCTACACATTCCATTCTCCTATCATCTAAGATTTCCCATAGTGGGCTACTCTTTCTACACAATGGTGGCCGAACTCGAAGAATGTATTTTATCGCTGTGGGTCCGTTATTTTCTTATTTTACAATTCGAAATTTCAAGATTTGAGTGATCGAGGCTTCCTTACTATATTTGATGAAATTATTGTTGTTTTTCACAAGCTTTTATGTCGAAACAAAATGCTTCATCTGTTTATTAGAGAACCCAACGACGAGACACCCACATACAGTATGAACGTTGTCCATTCACGATCATTGATTTCCCTTCATTAATTGTGTTGCCATGTGAAATTAAAGACTGGAATTTTATTGAAATGTGAAATGGAAAAAGCACTTCATTTCTCCTATAAAGATTATGCCTGGGTAAAAAAAATCGAAAAATCGACCAAACCAATTGAATCGAACCGACTTGGGTCAGTTTGATTGAGCAAATCAATTCTAAATCGATTAAATATAAAACCACTAAAATGATGGGTTGGATTGGTTATGGGTTAAGGCTTCAACCCAATTCGACTCAACCCAACACAACTCATCCCAAAATGGTGAAAAATGAAAATTATCAAAATCTAATTGCCTGCATAGTTATAAATTGTTGTCCTTGTCTCTATCGCCTCCTCTACTGATTGTCTCTCCATTTATTGAATACATAGTCTTGACGTAGTAGAGGGTCGACATTTCGAATGGAAACATGTAGAGATTTTTATTTGATTTAGTCAAGTGCAGAAATAATTGTTAAATTAATTCCTTGCATTTCATTAATATTTATGTTCAATATCTTAATATTGTATTATTGACTCTTCAATTTACTTTTCCATGGGAGTTTGTTAATTTGGAATTTCCATTAAGAAATATGGATTTCATATCAATAATTCATCTAATAAAATAATGATTATTTATTTGTTTTACATTTGGAAGTTGCAATTAAATAACAGATTTTTCTTGGCTTAATTTTCTTAATTGTCCACAATAACAGATTTTCTTGGCTTTATAAGTAGGGGTAATATTTGTTATTAATTTTGCTTTAGTTACAGGCAATGAAATAGTATTTCAAATTTCAATTTTTAAATACTGCACGCCTTAGCTCTTTCAATTTTATTGATTTCTGGTGCAAAATCTGGTGCATTACTTTGAGTAAAATTGTGTGCTAATAACAGGTTGTGAATTTGCTTTATTTACGACTTATAGTGTTATGGATTTATGTTAATTGCAACAAATAAATAAATCAGGTGTACTCAAATTGGGCCCAAAAGCTTTAA